CAGCTTTCATAAATTTTCTTTTGCGCAGTATAGAAATGGCCGCAAACAATGGAAAAAAAAGTTAGATTGACTTCAGCGTTTCCGTAAAATTTTCACCATTTGCTTTCACTCGAATTTGGTAAAGAGGTTGTTGTGGTCTTTCTCACTTTCTATGCACTTGTATTTAGTTTTTTTAGTTTATTTGAATTTTTCAATATTTATTTTGACCATAAACACACTGAATTGGCAATAATTTATTAACCGGTTTTTCTCGTGACGTTTTCGCCTTTTTACAACCACACACAGAGAACAGAACGACTACTGCCGCGGCCGCTGCTGCCTTCCGTTCTTTTCGCTATAGTTTTCTTCCCGTGCGTGTGTGTGTGCGCGCGTTTGTGTGACACTGCATGTGTGTATGTGCGTGCGTGTGCCGTTTGGGCAGGACTCTTTTTCCTTCGTGCTGGCTTCGGCTCGGCTTGCTTCGTTGCGGTGTAGTTTTCAATTACAACGGCCGCGCGCTGGTGGTGGTGTCGATGTCGATGATGTGTATGGTGGTGGTGATGGCGATGGCGGCGACGAGGACGACGATGCGAAAAAGGGCAAAAAAAAGGCGTACAAACATGCGCCCCCACCACTAATAGTAGAGAATGTATTCTGTACTTTTATTCCATCCACAACACAACACGCCGGCGCCCCAGTGACAGTGAGACTAACATTGCGAGAGCAAAGGCAGCGGGCCTAAAGAGAGTAATAGAGCGAGAGAGACGGTACTCCCAATGCTCTCATGCTTTACCTTGAAATTGATTAACATTTGTAAAATATAAAATGGGAATTGAATTTTTATTTTGAAGCACATGTTTACAATCAATTCAATTATTTATGCAAGTACATAATACATTTATTATTGTTTGCATAAACTAGCTGTAAAAATATTTCGTTTTGCATGTAACGGCCATTTTAATTGGTCTCAATAACATTATGTTAAGTCCTTTTCAGTGTGTACACATTTAATATAAATTTAACAGTTGGTGTACACACTGCCTATAACATAATCCTTAGTATTTACATACATTTTCAACAATCGAATATTGAGAAAATAGGACATGTGCATAATTTCTCCAGTTTTTGATATTATTCTAGTATTTGGTCGTTTATCTCTTGACATTTAATTGTGGATTTTTTCAATCCATTGGTAATATCTAATGAGCGGTTTGGTTTAGAGGTGTACCCGTTTTATTGCAAAATGTTTTACCATTGAGTTAATATTGGGATATTTTCTGTTAATATTATGACCATTTATACTGCACACTTTTTTAAATCACCCCCTTGTTATTTTATCACCTATCTATGGTGATATGCAGTATGCATTATTTTGTCTAAGAAGTACATGCCTTCAAATGTATACTCCTGACTTTTCATCGCATTATTGCACCTTTTTTGCATATTAGTGGACTAGCAAGCCTTTCCCGTCTTTGCTGGGCTAAGTAAAATGTGCTTACAATTATGAGTTTATTTACTATATGATTTTTCTCTTCCGACACTCTCTAAAGTTTTTAAACAGTTAATTTTCATTTCATTACCAAATAGCAAATTACTTTGGTGCTAGGACATAAAATACAATAAATACTATGTATAGTTATACGTACATACATACATATGTATATTTATGTATAGGCAAGTAATTTCTAGAATTAAAAGCTGTGCAATTTGGCAAAGTTATTTGGTCCACTTATACAACTGCACAGCATTTAAATGAGCATACACACACATGGCCGTAGCGACGGGGGTGCAAAGCGGGCAGCTTTCTGAACGGAACAAAAATTTTGCAGACAAATTTGAATTTGTGCCGCATTGTACAAAATTCACGAAAAAAAGACATCCAATTTATGGCTACGGTTCATTTATCAGCTAGATTGCTGTGAAGATATAATGTTGAGAATATATACCTATGTATATATATATATATATATATATATATATATATATATATATATATATATATATATATATATATATATATATATATATATATGGGCACGAAAACATTGTGTTAGTATGCTCAACATATAACTCTTAATTAGCCCTATATTTGGTGCTAAGGTTGATTTTGGGCAACGGGACAAACGGGGCAAATAAGTTGTTTTTGCGGCCACCAGTTCGCTAATTTTATCGAAACCTGAGGCAATATATATTAATGCGACTAATTTAAGAATGTTGTGCATTATTATCTCTTAAAAATAGTTTTGGTTTAACAGTTCAGAAAATGCAGTTTCAGTTCTGAACTGTCGAAACAAAATAAGTTGAGATTTCTTTATCTGCCATAACTTTCTTTTGATAACTGCCCCGACCAGATACGGATCCAATCCATGTTAGCTTGTAAAAAAAATCTGTTCAACTGAGAAGCATACGAATTATTTTTAGAAAATTAACTAGACTTGATACTATAAATTGATTCACAAACTGAGAGCAGCACTCTTTAGAAAAATTACATATTTATACTCTGTACATAAAATGTACAAGAGTATATTAGGTTTGCGGGAGCTGAAAATGTAACAGGCAGAAGGAGGCGTGGCAGACCCCACAAAGTATATATATTCTTGATCAGCATGACGGGACGAGTCGATCTAGCCCTGTCTGCCTGTCTGTCTGTCCGTATGAACACCTGGATCTCAGAAACTATAAGAGCTAGAGACACCAAATTTTGCACAAAGATGCCTTATGTGTGTACGCTGTGCAAGTTTGTTTATTTTTTTGATTCCCCCCCCCCCCCCCACTTCCACTTCTATGGGGGTTTCCCGAATTTCCATTCGTATAATCGCCTATATCTCGGAGACTATAAGACCTGGGGACACCAAATTTTAGTCCAAGATGCCTTATGTGAATATGCAGACAGGGCTAGATCGACTCGTCTCGTCATGCTGATCAAGAATATATATACTTCGTGGGGTCTGCCACGCCTCCTTCTGCCTGTTACATTTTCAGCTCCCGCAAACCTAATATACTCTTGTACATTTTATGTACAGAGTATACAAATCAGCCAAAAAAATCTTGCCCCCCTGGACTAAATCCTGGCTACGCCCATGTACACACATATACAAGGAGTGTTCCAAAGTAAACAGGACTTTTTGAATCTAGCGCCCCCTGGTGGGGCAATCTATACGTCGACTGGTGCGTTAGAATCAGCTATCTTTATCGATTGTCCAGTGAGAATTTCATGACATTTCATCGATTGGAAGTAAAGTTATTGCGTTTTAAGTGTCAGTATGTTTGTGTTATCGGTGCGAAAATGAGCCAACATTAAATTTGGTTTTAAAATTGGTAAAACTTTTACCGAAACGTTTCAAGTGATGGAACAAGTTTATGGCGATAAATGCCTATCCCGTAGCAGACTGCACGAGTGGTTTCAACGTTTTCAAAGTGGTCGTGACGACATAAATGACGATCAACATGTGGGCCAATCAAAATTCGTGATCACCAAAAATTCTATCGAATCGTGAATTCATCAAAAATCAGAACATCTCCAAAACATCGATTTATCGCATTTTCCGAACATTTGGGCTTACGAAAGGTGTGTGCACGGTTTGTTCCGCACAAATTGACTGACGACCAAAAATTGCTCTCATCGATCGACGATTATTTGACCAAAAATCGCATTTTAACCATTAACCACTCGCCGTATTCACCTGATATGGCACCGTGCGACTTCTACCTTTGCATTTGCCCATGAAAGGAAAGCGTTATGCAGACGTAGAGGCCATTCAAAAGGCTTGCACCGGCATACTGGGGGCCATACCGGCCAACGAGCTAAAACACTCGTTCGACATGCTTTTGGATCGTGCAAAAAGCTGTATTGAAGCAGAAGTAGACTATTTTGAATAAAATAAATTGATTTTGCCGAAAAAACCAATTGTTCTGTTTTTTTTTTTTTTAAAGTCCTGTTTACTTTGGAACACACCTTGTATGTTTATTATAATTGCTATAAGATATATACACATGTAATTGAACACACGTCTTGATTGAAAATGCAATTGAATGTGTCCGTTTCTTTATTTCATTCATACTTTTACAAAAAAAAGTTTTATGTATGTATGTTCAACAGCAAAAATATTACACAAGAAATTGTAAACAGATTTAATAAATATTGTAAGAACGACGAGTGTGGTGTGATGTTGATTGGTGGTTACTGTATGTGTGTAAGAATGTAAATATGAATGTATGACATGCAATTCGAGGTCAGGGGTGTACAAGAACTGCGCCGTCCTTAGATCCGATTTTATTCAGCCCAAATCCTAAACCAATTATCCATCGGTTGGGAGAAGATCAAGCAGTTGGATGAGCGCACATTTAAAAGACTCTGGCAAGTTAAAACTAAAAACGAATGTAAATGCTCTGGTTGTTGTTATCAGGGATGATTATGGTGTACATGCATGTTTGTCTGTGTGGATGTGTGTATGTGCAGATTGGTTGATTGAGATACATCATACTTCATATAAATCATGCATTATAAGTAGTCAAAGGTAGGCAGAAAGTAGTCAGAATGTCAAAGGGTGATGTTGTTCTGGTTATTGTTGTTTTTGTAAGTTATACTAAAAAATTTCTTTACACATAGTTCATTAAAAAGATACAGCATTATAAAATATGAGCTTAAATCGTATTGCAACAGGGCCATTTTCCAATGCTAGATACTATATATTTAAAATTTGAAATTGATTCAGCATTTGGGAGCTGCCGAATAATAATTGTTTATGCGAATTGAATTTTTTGTTTTCTTTTGCTTTTTTTAGGGACAAACTTAATTTTAATATACATTTGTATAATTATAATTTGTTTATTGCTGCTGTGATGAAGCAATGTGGTTGTTGTTGCTCTTGTAGTTTTTGTTGTTGTTGGGACATGCAACGCAATAAAATAATTGTAGCATTATCCGCTCTCATCTGGATGAATACATCAAGATCGATGGATTATCATCATCTAGATCATTACAAATACATTAACGATATTAAAAGGTATAAATAAATAACTATTATTAAAAGATATATCCTTTATATTTTACCAAACTTATGCGCCGTTCCGCATGCATGTACGAGTATGTTTAGAATCAAATGCAAATGGGATGAAGAGGAAAACTTAAGCCCCAAAACTAGCCCGCCCCAAAAAAACCTATTGCTGGATCGTATTATATCCTCGGCTCTTCCATGTGCCCGCCTTGCGTCAATCGGCGTTCTTAATTTCGCTCATATTGCGACATGCCTCACGCTCCCGTTCTCGTTCGCGCTCCCGCTCCCTTTGCTCCTCCTCCATCTTGAGCACCTTGCTCTTGAGACCGCATAGGATTTCCGCTGTGGCTATGTTCTTGATCGTGCTCAGATCCAGATGGCTATGATTGTTGTTGTCATCATTGTCGTCATCATCAGCATCGTTGCCGGCAGCGTTGTTGTTACTACCGTGCTCTGCATCCGCCATGTCCTCGATGCGCTGCTGATTCATATTGATGGCATTGATCAGAGCGACATTTTTAGTGAGTGAGAGTTTCTGTTTGCTGCTGTTGTTGCTGTTGTTCTCACTGGCATTCTTGCTGCTGCTGTTGTTGTTGTTCGAGTCGGTTTCCGTGTCGCCCCGATTGTTGTTGTTATCGTCATATTTGGGCTCGTAGGCGGCAAGCTCCTCATCGTGTCCATTATTCTGCTCCGCTGCCGCTTCTCCAGACGATGCCGAAGCGTTCGTCTCCGGCTGCTCGATTTCACGCTTCACCAATTGTATGTCAGGTGTGGGCGTCTCGCGTGCCTTGTTCCCATCGCCTTTGCTGCTGTTGTTCGCATTCGGGGTCTGTACAAGATTCAATGCCTCTTCCCCGTCATTCTGGCAGTTGCTGGTGCTGCTGCTGTTGCTATTATTATTGTTGTTGCTGGCATTCTTGTTGCTGTTACCGCTGCAGCTGCTGCTGTTGGTCAAATGATGGTTCTCTACTAGGCGTATTTTGAAGTTGTTGTTATTATGTGTTGCTGGTGGCAGAGTCAATGGTGGTGGCGGCGGTGTCTGCGGCACAATTGTGGTGATAGGTTCCAAGATGTCTTGGCTGTTGTTGCCACTGCTATTATTGTTGTTGTTGACAACATCGTCGTGTTCGGTGCCATAGCTTTCCATTTCCTTAAGTCGCTTCGCATTGCCCAGTTCCGAGCTATAGTGCATCAAGATTTTGCGCTTGGCCAGATATTTGTGTTGCTTGCGTGCCGAGTCCAACATTTTCTTGCTGTTGGCATGCAGTATCGCATAGTTGTCTGCAACCAAAGCAGCGTCGGGCAAGTTGGTATTGGTGTTGGTATTGTTGTTGCTGCTCGAGCTGTTACTATTGGACGGTCCATTGTTGTTACTGAGATGATTGTAGTTGCTGCTGCTGCTGCTGTTGTTATTATTGCGATTGAGATTCTTCATGAAGGATTCGGCCAAAGTGGCCTTGGACTTGATGTGCTCACGGAAGCCGGCATAGCTCGGATTGGACAGGGGCGTGGGACATCTATTGCTGGGCCCATTGAGATTGTTCTCCAGTGGCTGTTGTGGTGCTCCATACCCGCCATGTCCGCTGGTGATGTTGACGCTGTGAGTGCCGCGCTCATAACGGCACTCAGGACCGTCACTCTCATGGGGCGAGCTAATATCGCTCGAGTCGCTGTCCAGGTTCTTCTGCAAATGAAAATTTCAGTCATTTACACGTAATTCGAAGATAATTATTATATTATAATCTATTCTATTCTTTTTAGTGGTTTATTCTATGGACTCTTATTTTGTTTTATTTAATTCACTTACAATCTTCTTTTTATACCCTGTACCCAAAGGGTACTAGTTTTGTGGGGAAATACATTTTTTTTAAATACTTCAATTTTTTTTAAATCATTTTTTTTAATTTTTTATTTTTCCTTTTTTGTGGAGACTGTATCTTGTTATTTTCCTAATGACTCTCTTTCGTGTATTAGATTTTATTACCAGATAACTGAACACTGCACAGCAACGACTCTTTCTAAACTATATTATTTTTCGTGGTCTTAGCCTAGCTTACCTCCGTGTGCAGACCCTTGATCTTCATGGCCTCGGCCACTTTGAGAAAGACGGGCAGATCCTCATATTTGACATTCACCTGTCCACTATACATGAAATCGAGCAGGCCAGCCATGTGACTAGCCTCGACATCAGCCATCAGCAATATAGGATGGCTTGATGGGTTTTCCAGAAAGATTTGCTGGAAGTAGGGACTGCAAACGGACAAAACCTGTAAGCAATAAGAAGAAGGGTTCGATGTAAGTGAGCGAGCTATGACTCTTTGGGATTGGGGGCTGTCGGAGTTTCCCTCAATTTTGGACAGTGCTAGGGAATTTAAATCAAGCACTGGCCGAAAGAGAAAGCGTATGTCCATAATTGAGGGTTTGTTTACCAATTTGTGAGCTTTAAATATTTTTCCACCGGCCGCAATGGTCACATCAACCATCTTCTCGTCCTTCTGCAGTGAGTGGAAGCCGCGACACATGTTGCCATGGAAATTGTTCCAGGACAACAGATACTGATCGATGGTATTGGGATCAGTGTACGTTTGATGTTGCTGCTGCTGCTTCTGGTGCTGCTGCTGCTGATGCAAATGCTGCTGGGCCGCCTGATGCTGTGTGGCCGTAATGTGAATCTGTTGAGCGGTGGTGGGTGGCGAACTGGGCCTAGGCGTGGGCGGCTGGTGTGGGTGTGCAAGGTGATGCTGTTGCTGCTGCTGCTGCTGCTGTTGTTGCTGATGGTGCTGCTGCAGCTGTTGCTGCAAGTGTTGCTGCTGTTGCTGCAGCAAGTGTTGCTGCTGCTGTTGCAAAGCATGCTGCAGACCCGGTGGTGTTGCCGACTGTTGCATGCGATGTGGATGCGGCGATAGTGCCGGCTGTGTGGCCTGATGGTGATGAAAGCGCTGTTGCTGCTGGTGTTGGAGATGTTGCTGCTGCTGTTGTTGCTGTTGGCGCGCATGCTGCTTGATCTTAGCCATGTTCTCCTGCTGCTCCTGCTCGCGTTGTCGCAGCATCTCCTCCTTAATCTTGTACTGCTGCATGGAAAGATCGTCCACACTTTTGGACAGCTTTACCATGTCACTGTTGCTGTTGAATTTGTTGCTGTTGTTATTTGGCAGCATGGGCTTTAGGTCGTATTTGTAGTCGGCTCCGGCGGCAGCAGCGCCACTTGCTGCAGCAAATTTGCGCTCGGCTGCCAGAGCAGCGCGCTCCTTCTGTCGCCGCATGAGCTCATCAATGTCCATGTAGGCACCTGAAGTGGCCGCGGCAATCGCCGATGCTATGATAGGATCATCCTCAAACACGCTGTCGTCGAGAGTCTCCTTCAGTGTCTTGGTTGACGAGAAGAGTCGCAGTGATGGATCGTTCACCTGATCGCTGAAATAAACATCCATGAGCGTAAAGAAGGGCCATTCGCGGCGCTTTGGCTCCTCGGACATTTTGATCGCCTTGTATTCCTGCAGCAGATTGTTCCATTTCTTGATGATCTTCGACAGTGGCAGCGGCACATTGAGCTCCCGTTCGACGACACTTTTGGTGGCACACGGCAGGTGAGAGCGGCAGCAATAGAGGGAGGGAGTGTTTCACAACGCATAGAAATGAAAAAGATACATGTGTTAAGCTCAGCTCAAACGTTGGTGGTTTTGCCACCAGATATGATCGCCACACATACACACACACACACGTATGTGTGTATTTGTGCTTTTCTGTACTTACGCCCAAGCATATTTTGAAGCGTTTCTTTTTCCCGTGAAGAGCGGTGATAGTTCCGCACGTAATCTGATCAGTGATTTGACTTTTTCAGCTTCCCCTGAAAATAGACGAAAACAAAACAAATAATTAATTTTCGAAAAGAGAAATAACGTCGTTATGTAATTAAGTACTCTTTGTTATGATCATTGATACGCGCACGTTATGCGTCAATACTTGAGTGTAGAGGAATCGGTTATGTAATTGCCGTTAAAGCCCCGCTTCGACTTCCAACGAACCGAACTAGGTTAGAAGAAAACACATTTCACGATAATTTTGCATGAGATTATGAAAAAATGTGCACTTTTCGAATAAGTCTACAATACGGGAATAATTAGTTCTTCGTTTTTCATACATGAATCGAATTTTGTATAAAAAATTTAATTAAAATCATTCAAAAGTTGAAAATGAACGAACTTTAACTTAGAGACGATCAGACTGGTTGTAGTTTTTCTATAGTCTGTCTGTCAAAGCTGAACGAACCTTAGGAAACTGAGTTCAAGTTTATGCTGTACAGGCTCGTTGTCGATAAAGATCTACGGCCATTACAGAAATATGAGAGACGAAAACAAATAACAACAACTACATCAGCAACAGCAAACGGCAAATTATTGCAAATGCCAAATGATAGAAAACTGCGGGTAAATGCAGCAAGTTTCAATGAACTCGACACGATTCGCATCGCTGTCGAGTAATCATTGCAATCATCTGACAAACGGTGGCAACGGTTCGACGCCTGCCTGACGGGCTGCTGCCTGGAGGTAGCCAACGAGGAAAACTGGCAGACCAGTCGCCATTTATGTCTTTGTGGTTAATTGCTATAACGAATCTAGCAACTTTTACAAGTCAAGTCCAAAACCAAAACTAAAAGCCAACACCAGCACCAAAATCGAAACCGAAACCAAAGTCAAGAAAAACTAAAAAGCCAAATGCGCTGCAGTTTCAGCTTCAACTTCAGCTTCAGAGAAGCCTTAATGCTAGTCTGGGAACGAGATGCGCTGCTAAGTGAACATATAAAATATGCGAATGTCTGCCTGGTTACATGGCCTATACATATATACATACTACATACAAATATGTAAGTACGTATCTATGTGTGCATTCACATACTCATCAACTATACGCCACTCGACGTCTGTAATGACCGAAAGCTATTCAACGTTGAAGAATTCATTAGCAGATTTCACTTTCGCTCATGACGACGTTTGCTTATTTCTTTTGCTGTCTTTCTTTTCATCTTTTTTCTTTCTTTCTTTATTTTTTTTATTTATTTACCGTAATTTCTACTCGTTCACTTTTTTCTTTTACTACGCTACTCTCTGATCACATTCGTATCTTTTCCGAGACTTGAAGTGCCAACGGTAGATTTATTTACTTTTTTCTGCCTTTCATGTTGTTGTTTTTTTTTTTTAAATTTTTATTTCTTGACTTTGGTTGCGGTTGAGAGTCGTAGGCCGGGCCAAGAAGCCGCACTCTGCTCGCCTGGTACGGGGCTGGGCTTTGGCTTTTTCTCAAATATATCTTTGTTGTTGTTGTACAAGAGAAAATTGCTTATTTGAAGCCGGATCTAAAAGAGCTGAGTGAGCGGCTTTGATCGCTCGAAAATTGGAAGTGCAGTATTGTATACAGGATCGTATACAGTTTAAAGCGAAGATGTACTATATGACGGGTTTCTTAAGGTATATTTGGGATGTAGGACCTCCCATCTCTGTTCAACTTCAGATATCGTATGCTGTTCCATGTAATATACTATAAATTGGCAAAATCACTCTTGAATGCAATCATTAAATTGCTAAAAATTTGGTTTCTTAAATAACTAGTTTTGTGAGGGCAATATTTAATACAATTGACAAAGAAATATGAAAGTACAAGAAACAGAAATAAAATAAATTAATTTGCGGTCAGAAACATATCCGGGAAGCTTAGTGAAATAAAAGCATTGCATTCCTTTCAAGATTAACATAAAAAGCTATTGCCGTTTCTGATTTTTGTCAGTTAGTATTTGGGTAAAGAAATGTTTTCTAACTTCATTTTCTATTACCAAAGAGTAAGCAAATATGTACCTGATTTTAATTCGAAACCCCTCGCTATCACTTTTTATTGCAAAGCGAAGGAGCTCACAACCCCGAATGAAACAAAAATTACTGTAGTTTTTTTAATCTTAAGGAATATTTCAAAAGAGCAGTCAAGAGGCACATTAGTCGGAAAAATTCGTATCTGGAGATGGACAATTTAGCTAACGATTGGGTGTCGCACCCAAGAATATATATAATAATCCACGCTTGTTTTCATTCTCATTCCAATTTCTCATCTCTACCTTTTCACTCTAAAACCGAAGGAGTAAGCTGCTCATCTGTCTTTCTCTTTCTTCCTCTTTCTTTCTAAAGATTTTATATAGAGCAAATAGTCCACTGCAAGTCCAAGTTGAAGTTTAACCTCGAGAGCTAATGCTTTGAAGATATGCGAAAATAAACGCATTCCGCAACTAACACTCATCCAGCTTGATTTGTTTTATAGCCAGTCCAAAATATAACCTAGCCCAACCCAAACCCAAAATAAAAATAATCGTTAGGAAATCTTAACGTAAAAAATTTGCCAACGAACCAAAAATAAAAAAATAAACTATTTTTGCAAAGCCAAAATATTTGCGAATGGCTCAGGCAACAGTAACATTAATAACAACAACAGCACTAGCAGCAACAACAACATCAAGCAGCAATTGCAAAACAACCTCAACCTTCTGCGCTGCTACGCGCCTTGGTCGTGACATGTTCAAGTTCCACGTTCCCCTTGCAGAGCCGACCACCGACTGCCGACTGCCTACAGCCGACAACCGAGTCAGAGCAGGCAATAGCAGAAACAACAACAACAAATAAGTAAGTACGTTGTTTGGCCCCTCGGCTCGTTTGGTTGGCTCAAGGGGGACACTCGTCGGTGAGCAGCGCTCACAAGAGTTTCACTTTCTTTGCAACAAGTTTTGTGCGTTTGTGTGTGCTAATGTGTTTGTGTGGTGTGCCTACCTCACGCCACGCACTCGCATACACACACACACACACACACACACACACACACACACATACATACACACGCACGCACGCGCGCACCTCCAAAGCTCATTCGCTAGATCGCCGCCAGCGTCTCAATTCAATTCAATTCGATTCGATTCGCTTCAATTCAATGTGATTCCATACGATGCGACTCTAGTCTGTTATTTCTACTTTGCGTTTGCCCTTTTATGTAACCCAAATCCTCTGCAGCTTCTGCTTCTGCAGACACAATCTACGCGTTTGTCTGTTTGGTGTGCGTCGACAACAACAGAAACGCCACTGCTAGTGTTTACTGTTAGTTTCTCTTTTGACCTATATTTGCCGAACGCCTTATTGCATGCTGGTTGCCGCTGCTGCTGCTGCTGGTGGTGATTCTTTATCTCCCTCTCTCCATCTCTCTATGTGGCATTCGTGTGCTCACTTCCGTTCGTCTTTTGGATTTCAGGCACTTTCGTGATGCAGAACCGGTTCTGGGCCTCGGAACTGCACACCCATGCGGTTTCTGTTCTTGTTTGTTGTTGTTTTCATGTTTTATTTTATATTTGAATTAGCGTTCCAATCAGGCTGTCCACTTCTTCTTCGACTTTAATTGGCTTTAGAATAGCGAGAGAATATACATACACGTAGTATATTTTTGTAATCTTCTTGGTTAGTGCTGGATTTTCTTATTTCGATGACTGGACACTCTACTACATACTCGTACTTATTGTGCTTGGCTTCGTTCCGCTTGCTTTCTTTTTGTCACGCTTATTTGGCTTCTTGCACTTTTCTTTTTCTTTACAAATACTTTTTCTTCTGCCAAGCTTAATTCTTTGTTTATTTGATTAAGCGCGCTATAGTTAACCGTGACTTTTCGTTTCTTCTCGCCAGCATTTCTGTCGCTCTTACCTAGAGTTGTTCTTTGCGTGAGAACTTCTAATTAGGTCAGGATTTTTTAATGCATTTCTTGCTTCTTCTACCTGCCCCACATAAAAGAATTATATGTACGTTTTTAATGGAATTTCATTCAACGCTAACACATAGTTAAATTGTTCAGAGAAGCAAGGCTCTGGCTGTTCAAATGGTTCCATCTCCATAATTTATACAGACTAGATTTTTGTCATTAAAAGTACAAATGGAAAATTTGCTAAATATAGCACTGCTGGCTTGACTTCATTAAATATTTCAATGCTTTATTTGAGTTAAGCTAATATTAGAGAATAACCCTTGAATATAAATATCATGCTAATGTAAAAGAAACAACCATCATTCGACCATTTCTGTTGCTCTAACTTTTTACTACTTTTTCAATATACGTACGTAAAGTCTTAAAATTAAAAATAAAATTAATTAAAAAATAAAAACAAGTAAAAAATCTAAAGTCGGGTGTCCCGACTTTAAAATACTCTGTACATATGTTTACAATAATTATAGAAAATTAAAAAAAATTAAGAAAATTAAAAAAAAATTGGATCGGTTTTCTAACTCACGTAAAGGATGTATAATTGCACATTTACATAGCAATTGCGTCTGTGTGAGTGTATGTACATATGCCTATGCGTATCTATTCGTGTCTGTGTAAACATGTTAGCAGTCAACCAAACAGCAACATCAACAACATTCGGTCTATCATAGTGAAACTTGGCATACGGACACATAATAACTAGCGGGGGGTATTCGCAAAATTTGAGTTAGAAAGTCCAAGGATTACGGGAGTTACGATTTTTGGTGGAGAGGGGGGAGAGGGGGGAGAGGGGGGGGAGAGAGGGGAGGGAGGGAAATTCCAAAATACACATTTTTTGCGTATTTGGTGTTCCTAGGTCTTATAGTCTCCGAGACATAGGCGATTATACGAATGGAAAATCGGGAAAACCCCCGATCTCTGTATCTCTTATAATCTCTGGATTCCGGGTGTTCATACGGACGGACAGACAGACAGACAGGGCTAGATCGACTCGTCTTGTCACGCTGATCAAGAATATATATACTGTGTGGGGTCTGCCACGCCTCCTTCTGCCTGTTACATTTTTCAGCTCCCGCAAACCTAATATACTCTTGTAAATTTCATGTACAGAGTATAATAATATTAATAAGAAAAATGTTTTTATAACTGGGGTACTATGAAGACTTAGCAGCTCTTACAAAATTCGTATAGCAGAAGGCTGCCAAAATGTTCATTTGAGGGAGACCCCTAAA